AAAGTATGTGAGCATTCAAGCCAAGTTAAAATTGCCAACTGTAAAGATCATTGTTTACTGAAAGCATCAATGATACATCGGAACAGAAACAATAACTTCGAGTTTTTTGTTGTAGAAATGAAGTCAATGTATCATTGATACTTTCAAGTAAACATTTTTTCACTAATAGAAACATTAATGAAAAGTCTTTCTCAATGGCGCATTTTGGCTATGCATTATAGTATTTTGAGATGAACAAAGTAAATAAATAAAATTATTAGTTATAAGATTTGTTGATTGCAAGATATAGGGTTATAAGATTATGCATCAAATCTTTATTATTTTTTAAATGAAAAATTCGAGATGAATAAGAAATTCAATAAAATGTTGGGTCGATATTCCTTGATAGAAAAAAAAGGTTAATTATGCTGTTATATCTACGGAAATTGTCTAACTTAGAATTCCATAGCTTGAAGATCTTTCATATTGAAAATATCTCAAACTTTACATTAAGACCTCCCGGTGTTCCTGTGCAGAATGTCATATAGCTAGATCAATCACTGAGAAAGATTATCAACAAAAACCAGATAATATTAATTGCCGTTGTTAACAATTTCATAACCCATGCGGCTGTTACCATTTTTCAAGTTTCTTGCTAACTTATTGAGCGACAAATAATTCTAATGATACGTGATAATAAATTCAATAATGTCTGAATAAAGTGTTTTTAAATAGTGCTGATATTATTATTATTGCCATAATGAGCTCTGTCACCAGCGAACACTTGCATAATCCCAATATATTACTTTGAGACGAGATAACATGACATCTTTTGGCGGTTATCCGAATAAGATTACAATATTTATTTCAAAACTAAACTTAAACTTAAATTACAATTTGAAATGTAAACAATCACCGAATTTTATTAGATACCTGCCATTAGACAAAAAAAAACAATTTATTCCAAATAACTGTAAATATATTCCTTAGCGCATTTTAATTGATTTGACACAGACGAATTTGATTTAGTCGACCAACCGGGGGATCATAACTATGTGATTTGTATACCTCTACTAAATATAAGAGAGATTACAGTTTGAATATTTCTTTAATGCTGCAAATTAATTATCATTTTCAGCGAAATGAACGATACCTTTCATTCTAATGACAGTACCTATTTTAATAGTACTGCAAGTTCGAATATTGCTGTGTGTGAAGGCCTCGGTCTCTATTGCCGTAAGCTTTTAACTATAATTCAACTTTATTACTCATCTTCATATGATCAATTCCAGAACTGAATTTGAAGAATTTACAATTTTTCCCAAGAGCTTGTTGTCGAAAATTGTTAAGGAAGTTTAAATAAAAATGAAGAATAGAGTGATTTAAAAAATTCATATTTAAAATGTAAGAATGTGTATTATTGATCGGTTTCGTTTTAGAAGTAAATTTGATCATAAAATAGCATATAAAATAAAAATTATGAAATTGAATAACAGATTTACGATTATAGTTTATTTAGCACAATTATACAACAAAAGGAGCACGGTAGCATATTTTGCAACGATTGGTAACTTTGTAATTATTCCTTTCATGCTATATTTAACACTTATGAAAGTGAAGGATGGATTTTTCAAACATTTCACATTGAATTTAATGATTATTTGTATCACAACGGCTATTGCCACTCTTATAATTGATGCAATTAATATTGCAAAATTATTTATCTCAGAAATGAGAATATTACATTTGTAAGTTTTTGTTTTTCAATTCTTTCGGATGATTCTAAGCGTTTCTTCCACTTCCTCATTTCAGTAGGCTAACTATCCGTCCAGGCGCTAATTGAAAATGACACTCACATAAAGATAAATAGAAAATCAGTCTTCTTTCGTTTTCCTTTATAATATTTCAGCCAACGAAATTTTTCTAGAAAATGATCGATAATGAATATTTTGCGATTTTAGGATTCGTATTCGGCAACACGCCCGATTTTTTGTCAAGTTAGGAATCATTTGGTTTCATGCCTTCTTGCTCTATTCAATTATAATTTGTTATCTTCTTTATGCAAAACCTATTTTTTACAAGAAGAAATTTGAGAACAGGTGAGATTACCTTTCATCATTTTTCATTTTCCCACTTGTACTGATCGAATCGGATACGGCATTTTTTTGTATCTTTCCTATTTTGGAACTAATTAAAGTATTAAATTAAGATATGAAAGTTATTCATTTTTCATCTAATTTATTGCGGAAATACTCATTCGGTTATCTTTACCGCTTCATATTTTCTGGATTTGAATAAAAATTTATCCTTCTCATTTCAGAAGTCAGGAAATATACTACGTTCTGTTGCATATCTCGGCAGTTCTTTGGAGTGGTTTTGTAACCTATCTATTTTCGGAATCCTTATATCTTATGCCCTACTTCCTAACCCATATCACACTATTTATCACACTATTTATTGTTGCTCTGATGGTAAAATTTTGAAACTTTCAAAAATCCCATGAAATCTCATCATTTTCTTTGTAATTTAAAGTAAGCTAAGAAAAACAATCATATACTTTTTGGAGTACTTTTAGAGAACTGAGAATTGTGATGGAAAGGTAACTTTAAATAAGACAGTTATTATTGTTTTAGGGATCGATTAAAATAGGCACATATAAACCGCTTGGCATTTCTGACATCCGAGTTGATCAAATGCGAAAAAAGCGTTTATATTCATTTATTTTATATAGTTATTCTATTGAATTCATTACTTTGCCAATGTTTGGTAAGTTCAGTAATTGCTGACAGTAAAAACTTATCACAATTGAGTTTATAGTTCGACTAAAAGTCTCTTCTTCAACTTGCTAAGCTGACAGTACGAACATAAAATCAATACTTCTAGCAGTATCCGAAGCAGCAATTGCAGGTTTGTAAAATTAAAACTTAACAACTTTAGCTCTACTGGTTTTTTTTGCATTTAAAAAAGAAATATTTATAAATTCATGAAAGATATTTTAGTTCATGCGTGTGCATATAGTGTTTGTATATTTGCTGGTTATGAAGATGATTTTGTTAAGAGTAATTTCAAAGCCATGCTCAATTTATTGATATACTATTTTTATGAGGTAATAAATTAAGAAATCATTCGTTTATTTTATTGCAAATTATCTTTTGTCATACGCAATGTAAATTCTTCACTTTTTAATGAAATATTTTAGTGTAATTTAATTTCAGTTGCGAACAATTATAATTATTACCAGTACGATCCTTGCACTTGAGCCATATCGTTGTGCAGCTGTATCACTATTTCGCAGAAGAAAAGGTATTACA